TTTTTTTTTTTTTTTTCATATTGGAGAAAATTTTTGGTGCACAAGTATCTTGTATTCCTTAGTACCTGATGATGGCTCCTTAACTAGCACAATATATCTTTTTTCCATCCGCGTTGAACTGCAGGTGATGCTGAAACCCTCCCAAGCGATGAGCCTCTGCAAGGTGCCCGTGAAAAGCAGCTCACTCGATTTCACAGAGGTCAACATTCGTCTGTCGATGCTAGTGTACGTATCACGTGAGAAGCGGCCCGATTACGACCACAACAAGAAGGGTGTGACTATGAACTGTAATGCCCCGCTTATTTGTGAATTATTTGGGATTATTTATTATTGCATTATTATTATTATTATTATTATATTATTTATATTATTTATCTAATTGTCTTAATTGCTTATATATTATTGTTATTATTAAATACTTAATTGCTTAAATGTTTATTTAATATTAAATAAAATATTATTGTGTGTATTATATATATATATATATATGTATACGCAGAGCAGAAGAAAATATTATATATCTCTCTCGCCGCTGTTTAAACCGAGGAGCTGCGACCCACCAAACAAACCCCTGTTCGAATTTCAGAACCGTTCATCAACCTTCGCCGGAGAAGACGAGCAGGAGCTTGACCGGCTGCCCCCTTCGAGTCTTGTCGGAGAAGATAACCCGCGCCAGCGAGAGCAAACTGAGAGTAGCAGCACCTCACGGACCCCTGCGAGCAGTTCTCCGTCGTCCCTGTTCTCGCGCGCAGACGACCACCGCGAGCAGCCCTTCGCTGCCGCATGTTGTCACCATCATCACCGTGAAGCAGGCCTCCATCGTCCCTCTCTCTACTGCCTGTTAAACCGCGACACCCCAATGATCACCGACCGCCATCGCTGCTTTCTGCCACCGTGAGCAGGAAGGGTTCCGCGAGCTCTCGGTTTCCCCGCGCGATCTAGAACCGAATCGTACCGCCTTCGCGTTGACCGTCGAGCAACAGTCCATTACCGGCGAGCGCCGTTTCGCTGTCGCGCATCATCACCATCGACGTTCAACGCCTCGTTCATACCACCAGTGGACCATGCACCCGGCGTGTCCTGCTTCCCCGTGAACCTGTTGTCCGTGAGTAGCTGCGGGACCAATTTCGTCAATCACACCATCATCGAGCCGCTGTTCCGCCTCTCGTACACGGCCAGCCCCTTGTTCGTGATCGTTGCCATACCGGGCGAGTCGAGCAAAGCTGCCGAGCCTTTCCCGCGTACTTGTGACAGCCCCGTATCAGTCTTCGTTTTGTTTTGTTGTCGAGCGATTTTTCCGAGAACGGTACTCATGATTTGAACCCCTCGATTTGATGTGTTTATATGCGTTCTATTGATGCCTTAGTAATATATGTTGGAATAAGGTTTATTATGATATGCTTATGTAGAGATCCTTTTTGATTTCAATGAAGTCATATAAGATCACGTTAATTTCGTGTTAGGGTTGTGGATTTTGGAACATATGTGAGTCCTTAGCCTTATGGTGAAGGCCTTGGACAAATTCATTGAGTTTTGAGTCCTATATGAATTTTCAAAACCGAACTAGCTGCTGAATAGTATTAAATTCATGGTAAATCGTGTAAATGTCCAAATGCCTTGAATTTTTGTATGTGTTTTTCTCTGATGGTATTGTAAGTCGTGTAAAAATTTCATGTTCAAACTCCTCCTGTAGCCTTGTCAAATGTCGATTTCAGTTTCTGGTCAGAAACTTAGAAAATTCATATAAAATCGAGTTGTGATGCGAAATTTCTGAAATTTTAATATGTTGTTCCCCTGCTATGTGTTGTCATCGTGTATAAGTTTGGGAATTTTTGGAATTCGTTTGCTAGGATAATATTTATTTTGAATTTTTGGCAGAAATTTGTTTTAATTATGTAAAATCAGTCCCTTGCTGGAAATGGATAAAATTTGGTGTGCATGCTCTTTTTTTTTTTCAAAACGATAGAAACATCTCATATATATAAAATTGTCTTACAAACCAAGAAATCAACTAGCTTCAATAGCAAACACACTAGGAGGGTCACTCTATTAGTGCCCTAGGTCAAACACAAATAAGCAAATACAACTAAAATAGGGTGTTCAAACATGAAATCACCAAACAATACACAAACTCCCTCAAGCAGCTGGATCAACTGAACACTTGAGAGAGCAGCAATCCCAAACAGAAAACTATTATAGGAGCAACACCAAAGTACTGGGAAGAGCCAAGGAAACTGAACCACTGAACCACAAGGACCTGGAGCAAATT